AACACATATATACATACATATATATATACATATGTATGTACATATATATATATATATATATATATATATATATATGTGCAGACAACCTCGTGACAGTATGCGTTTTGTGCAGCTGTTGCACAGCACAAAACGCATAAAAATACATAAAATAAATTTTAGAAAAGAAAAATGCGTTTAGAACATAGAATCTGAGAATTTAAAGGGCCGGGGGAGGAGATTTGAAAGGGAATTTAAAGTCCAGTATAAGTCTATGGTATTGTTACAAGTCCCGTATAATCACTAGGCCTTTTTTTTTATAATATTGTGGATCCATAAATATTTGTACTTTATAATTTGATATTCTGCATATTTTGTACAACATTTGGTGGACTTAAAAATTTAAGCTTGAAAATATTTTTATGAAAAACATAATGTAAGATTGCATATACGTGTCTAGATTTTTAAAATTTTTCTGATTAATTGGAAAAATCTTGAGAAATGAAATCTATAACGTGGAAGGAATAAAAGACACGTAGTAAATAATACTGAAATATGTAACAGGATGAGTATTACTGACGAGATGAGAGTGTTGATTCACATCAAAATTAAAAGGATAAATCTTATAAACTGTCGTGTGAAATTGGCTATCGTTCAATACAGAAAATGTACGTACGCGCCTGAATGATCGCAGTTGTGATGCAGCCTCCCTGTATTATTTCAAAGTATGATGTTGCTGTTACGAGTAAGCCGTGCGCCATTTTTGGTGAAATGAGATTTGCTTATTCTTGATTATTTCAAAAATCCACTTTTTCGATAATGTGAATTTGTTGCAGAAGAATGAAATCACGTTTCATAATGTCTCTGTGCGAGCACTGACGCCATGCCGAGTTGTGCGGTATGTTTTTGGCTTCTTTTATCTGTTCAAAAGCTGAAGACTGGAAGTGAGTAATAGTCGTCTGCGAAAGTGGCTTCCTGTGTTGCCAGTTTGGTAGCATTCTTTAAATATTCGTTTTTTTTTTCTTTGTCTTCAAAATTTTCACTTTTCTTGTTCCTAGTTTCTAAAATCTACTTCTTCGCATTTTCGAAGGTGCGTTTTTAAGGTACAGCTTCAGCAGTTTTCGTGAATCGTTTGAGAAGAATCCAGAGCTTTGGATTCGGCCAATTCAAATTATTTTAACGCGATTGTTGCATGTTACTTTGACAACGCTTCATCAGTATCTTGGTCTGAGTACTGAATTGGCAAAAAAGGTAAGATTCCCTTTCTGCAAGCGGCTTGAACATAAATCCTCCATGGTTGAAAGATCGTTTTTTGAATTCGGATCGAATTAAAAAAGTGTTTACTTCGAGCGTTCCAGATTTTTTACTCAATTTTCCCTCAAGAGCACATTTTAATTTGCGTAAATGAGCGCAGTAGTTCTAGCGACCGGAAGATAGAAGAAGCATCGATGAACGATATCGACATCCG